TGGGCTGGCCTGCTGGATTGCATCAATCATTTCTTAGATCCCTTTTCGGATTCTATTATTCTATTCTATGACTGCCAAGTAGCACACTGTTATGTTCCATTAGGATGTCACACTTGGAAATTGTTTTTAAAAAGAATATCTTGTTTTGAAAGAATTAAGGCAGCAATTAAAGGAAAGAATAATTTTAAGAGAAAGAAAAGATCACATAAAGTGCGACAAAAGTATGAAATTTGCATTCAAATGCATTCTTCAAAGAGAATTTCATCTCAGTGATGACTCACTTATCATCCTTGGATCTACCAAGCAACTCCTATGTACCAGACACAGCATTTTGGCTGCTGCTGTTGGTGGTGGTGGTGATAGTGATGGAAACTAATATTTTTGAGGCCTATTTATAAGCACATGAATGAGAAAGGCATGAATTCTACTCTCATGAAAACATGTGCCCAGCAGGGAAGATAGATCTAACAAATTATTCCAAGTGTTATCAGTGCTGTGTGAAATGTTAGATATTCTATATAGGAAGTGTTACAGGAGGTCTAACCTAGATGAAGGGTCACTGAAGGCCTCTCAAAGAAGTCACGTGGAAGAGTTAGCAAGACAAAAAAAGGAAAAGTAAAGATAAAGTAAAAAGCCAGGTGCTACTAGCTTACCCCTTCATCCTAGCTACTCAGGAGGCTGAGATCTGAGGATCACAGTTCAAAGCCAGCCCAGGCATCAGTCATGAGACTCATCTCCAGTCAACCACCAAAAAAACTAAAGTGGCACTATTGCTCAAGTGGTAGAGCACTCACCTTGAGCTGAAGAGCTCAGGGACAGCTCCCAAGTCCAGAGTTCAAGTCCCACAACCAACAACAACAACAACAAAAGACAAGGTAAAAGATTCTCAGACAAAAACAAAAAGACTACATGTAAGAAATATGATCAAATAAGAGATACGTGTCAAAATAACTGAGAAAACTAGTCAATTCTTAGCCGAGTGAAGGGGAATGGAGGAGATAAGTCTAAAGAAAAAGTGACAACAAAATCATGCTGAAGAATTTGATGTTCAGAGGCCACGTGAGGAAGTCTGGGCTCTTTTCAAATGGATCCCTGTGGATGAGCGCTGAGGGAATTCACATCATGATCAGATCTCAGTTCTAAGATGACTCTGAGTGAGTTGTAAGGAAAGAAAGGAAATGTCTGGAACACAGAGGAGATAATGATTCGCACTAGAACAGTCATTGTGTTGCTAAAACACCTTGAAGTTAAAGTGAGTTCCCACAGCTAGCAAAATGTTTTCTCCCCGGGACTCTAGTAATTTCTTGTTTGCTAGAAGGAATCTTCCATTCTCAAGATCCAAAAACTAGTTCTTCATACAATCATATGAGGCTGATGAGAGAGTGGGTACACAAATGGCAGCAGAAGGCCATAGAGAGGAAAAACACCAGAAACCTTGTCTTGCACTGGAAATTGTGAGCCTGGGCCTTCTAGCTTCCCTCTTCACAGAAAAAAAAAAAAAAAAAAATGAGGTTCAGAAAGACAACGTTTGCCTAGAAAATCGTTTATGGCTCATAAAAGTATTGCCACCCTGTAATATAAAAAAAAAAAAAATACAGCCCAGGAAGAGATGCTTTTCACCTGTAAGATGAGAACATTGTAATTAATGGCCCTACTCTTTAATACAGGGCTCATTTAGAAAGCTTGAGTGGTAAGCTATCCTGCTGGCACGGTTTGTTCTAAATGGGATGACAAAAGTTCTCAACTCCCTCTGGGCTCAAGGGGCCATTACGAATGAATCAATGATCAAGCATTTATTGAGCAACTATGTGATGAAAGCCATTGGGAATACACTGATGAACTAAGCTAGACATGATTTGACTTACATAGCATTTTCAGTTCAGTGGAAAAGCTGAGTACATACATTACTCAAAAAAATTCACACAAATTTAAAACTACAATTGTAGATGTACTGTGTGCACACTTATGAAAGGAGGGGCTAGAACAGACAAGAATTTAGGGAAATGATTGCAAAACAGAGTAGCAACATAAATACAGGCGAAACGGGAGACAGAAAATAATTACAAAATGAATTCAATTGATGAACAAGTATAGACTACCTGCAAGTGCCAAAGGTCACAATGGGAAATGGATACACAAATGAATAAAACAGTCTACAAGAAAGGGAAAGTAGTGTGGATTAGACATGGCTAATTGTGAGAATTTGGTCATTCTTTGAACCATCTGAATTCAGCTCAGCATCTTCATCTATAAAATAAAGAAAGCAACATCAATCCTGCAGGTTTCATTGTGAGCATTACAAACATTGGAGTCCTTAGCTCAGTGCCTGGCACATAAGCAACAAATTTTGTAATGTTGGGATCAAGAGGGTTAGTATGATGTAGAAGAAGCAGTGGCCCATAAAGGTCAAAAGCTGAGTATTTTGATCAGACTGATTGGGTTTGAACCCCATGAGCAACTTTCACTGGTAGAGTGACCTTGCATAAATGGCAAACTTTCTGTATCACTAAAAGAAAGATAATGGAAATGCCTAATTCATAGGGTTCTTGAAAGGGTTAAAGAAGACAATGTACAGAAAGTGTGAAAAAAATTGACTAAATACCTAGGCCACATATTCTGTGTGTAGAAGATGTTGTATCTGCACAGATAAATAAGCACTTTTTTCTGTTATCACTCTGGGTAGGAGAAGGAAACGAGGTAAGAACAAAGATTTCACATAGAAAATATTGGTCTTCAAAAGTGAATAGGTGTTATGTAAACAACACGCTGATAAATTTGCTTTGCTCAACCATAGGGGGGCAATGGCTATTGTGAGTATTGCAAGGAGAATAGCAAGTAAAGTTCAGTGTGTTCTTTCTAATAAGTGCCTTCACTCTCACTGTTGCCACTAGCTGGAAGGCAGTATGAGGCGACAGAGAACAGTGTGGACTCTGAAATCAACAGGCTTGGGTTCTCATTCCCTCCCTACTGCTGCCAGCGGGGTGATCTTAACACCAGTTACTTCGATTTGTTGAACTTCAGTGTACTAATCTTTCAAAGACCAAGTAAGAGTAGTGCTATTACTTGTCATGAAGCCATTATGGGGATTAAACAAGCTAATGTAGGTAAAGTGCTACGTACCATGTTTGACACATACTAAGCACTCCATAAATGCTGGCTGATGGTATTGTTAATGTGTCACTTAGGTTGCACTGGCATAAAAAGTTAGAACTTGTTGGATGCATTTTGTAATTGCATTAAAAACAAGTATATGTACTATATTACCTCCTCCACAGTGGGGGAGCCAAAGAAGTATCATGAACAACCAGGTGATCACAGTTCACAGATGACAATAATGGCTCCTGTAACTTTGAGAGTAGGCCTTCAATAAACACTGAGTGAATGAATGCATGATTTATTTTGCTGATCTTGAAGTGGCTTTTCTATGATAAACATATGCATGTTTCTGTTAAATAATATACAAATTAAATGTATATATAGATATAATTTTAACACCAGTAGGACAACCATTATTAATATCATGATATTTGTTGCTGGGTATATTGCATGCATGTGTGTACATACACCATATTTGTGAGGAATTATTGCCTTTAAGTAAGTGTTATTTAATTTCTGTTGTGCCATATAAAAGATTTTTGCTTTCGTCATAGGTGCATTTGCTTTCTTAATTGCTTTCTTGATTTCCCAACATGATTTTGACATTCTATAAGGATGAGCTGCACACTGAACTATTGTCATGTTAGATTTCCAGTGTATAGCAAAACTAATTCACCTTCAAGCATAAGGTATCTGTTGCATATTCATGTGTTCTTAGTTGGGAGATTAACAACTCGAAATCTAATTATTTATTTTTAAAAGAGCTCTGTATTATCTCCTTCCCTAGAAGAAAATTACAAACACATATTCATATAAAACAGTGCCTAAACTGTCAGGAGGTTTATAAACTTCATGAAGCAAATCCACAGATTCTTGTCCCCAGAGCTTCAGGTCAGAACCAATGACATGAAATATGTCAATATGAAGCAGAACAAAAAAAAAGGGCAAACACTTAATTGGAACAATGATGGAGAAAAATATCACTCTAAAGCACTGCTGACAAACAGGATGCTTGAACATTCTAATAACATGGTCCAATTCCAGTTGATTGTTATATCTGAAATAGTCCAAGTTTTACCTTGCATGTTAATGTTTCCCTACACCTTCCATTGAGAAGTATTTCATCCAGTACATATTGACTATCCTCAGTGGTAGAAAGCCTCAGCAAGACTGCCAGTGCAACACCTCTCCTCACCGCCAGGGTTTCCATCCTGGATCCCTGACATTCCTGGATCTACTCCTCCAAGCCCCACCTCTGTTACACCTGGCTGCATGGCATGAGATTACTATAGAGAGAATATGCAAAATGAATCAGCACTGGATAATACAGCTACTTAAAAGAAGGACAGCAATTCTCAATAATCCCCACAATAAGTTCAGTACACTTACTATGTAATATAGCATAAAGAGTGGTAAACATAAAGGGGGTAGAGTCATGACAGCATTGGGCAGGAATAGCATGATCTCAGGCAAAGGTTTTAACTTGGTCTCTGTGTAGTTCTAACCAAGGAGGATCATAATCTTTGGTTTTCTTTTCATAATTACATATTTTAATATGCAATTTGTAACACGATGCTAATTCCACATACCAGCTAGTGCAGCTCTTCAGAGAGATCTACAAGGGTCTCAATACAGAGAAAAAAAAAGCTTTATAGTTTTCATTAGTTGTTCCCAGCTGTTTGCTTCTGAAGATACAACAATTAATGACAATGAAAGCTGAGCTATAAAGAGCTTGCACCTACATCTGTACATTTCTAAATGGATGATTTTTGCTCTTGAATGGTTGAAAAGCCTGAAATAGCATTCAATTCCAAAGAATGGTGCAAAAGGAAAAACTTTTAAATGATTATAAAACATATGTGCATATATATATATTAAAGCCATTTCTTTTTCTCCCTCAACAGTTACACCATCCTTCTCAAGGCTTCCGCTTTGGAACTGTCCGGGAAAGCAGTGCTGAAGATTATGTGAGACAAAGCTTCCCAGAGATGCACGAGTATATGAGGAGGTACAATGTCCCAGCTACCCCTGATGGAGTACAGTATCTAAAGTGAGTATCAACCTCTAAGATCTGATATCCTAAAAGTTCTTATTGACAGAGAAGGCATTTAACAAAGGATAGATACTTTTTTAAGGATGTTCAGTAATACCTCATACTCTGAGATCCCAAAGTCAGTACAGAACAGTATGCATTTAATTTACACATTCTAGATTACTAGTTACCTGAATAGTCTCAAGTTGGCAGAAGCTTTGCTCAGAGAGCCAGTGTTATCATTAGTCAAGCAGATGGAGGGGGAAGTAAATGTTGGCTTGGCATCACTTGAGAAAACACTGGTGCTGAAATGATCAAACACACAGGGAATGGGGCCAAAGGATACAGTGTCCCAAAGCAACCCTTTTCCTCATCGTGAATCTATAAGGCCATAGAAGGACTCCTCTTGATTCACAGAAAAGAAATCTCTCATAGAGATTTCCTGTAGAAAGTAAACAAGATAGAAGGCTGTGATTTCCATTCCACTCTTTTCTCATCAGAAGTCATGAGAAGTGATCAAAGGTGATCATGTTGCCATGACAGATTATCAGAGCCTATCATTCAGTGAGCTAAGTGGAGAGAAGGTTGGTGTATGGCTCTGTTTGTCTAGTCTTCCTGGGAAAGGGAATACATGGCTTCCATGCAGCACCACTGGATGAAATATGAACTGTCCTCTCTCTCCTGCCTGATGCTATCTAGACAATTACAGATCCTCCAATCCCCAGAATTTCCAACATCAGGAATCTAGTTTCTCCATCATCAGCTGCAAGAGTCTTCCCACTGGACAGTAAATCTTATCATCTCAAATTCTTCAAAAAAAGAAAAGGGAAAAAAGAAAGAAAGAAAAGAAAAGAGAAATAAAGGGAATAGATAAGAATACTTGAAGACACGTGGGCTTTGTGTTTTTTAAGTGCTCTGGTAATAATCCCTGCTTACAAAAAACCTTATAGACTTTTAACTAGAGCTTGGAGAAAAAGCTGTGTGCTCTTATATTTGCAAAGTTATATATGATGTTTAAGTACTACAAAATGGCACTTTTAATTTTGCAAGACTAGACTCTTTGCTTCTCTCTCCCTTCCCCCCTCTCTCTCCCCCTCTCTCTCGCTCCCTCTCTCTAGCACAGTATTTGGAGCTCAGCTGCCCCCTAGATGCTCTTCTATTTTTTTCCTCCTTCAGGCAAATGCGTGGGTAAGAGAATAAGATGTCAGGGAGACAGAAATGGCTCCCAATAGAAAGCAATGGCTGACAAACTAGGTTCTGATAACAATATGACAAGAATGAGATGGAACTCTGCTATGGTCCCCAGCAGGCTCATTTTACTCAGTGTATTCATTTAAGGTTTCACCTGAGGAGGCCCTATCTCATGCCCAGGGTGGACCACACTCTAGCCTAGAAAGAGCCAATCATTTAAAAAGCAGGCACAGTGAAGTAGGCCTAAAAGAAATAAAATCCCCTTGGTATTCCGGTTAACAAGCACAATGTCAAAATAGAACCAGATGTCTAAAATCCAAACACTGCTTTAGGACTGGATGGGAAACCATAATAGAAGAATATGTCCCGGATGTTTAAAGAATGGCCCATGTTCTAGCAGTACTCAGGCTCCAGGTGGTATCTGGGAGAAAGTTAGAAATGCAAGCCATCAGGAACCTACTTTATTAGAATGTGCATGTAGCAAGCTCCCCAAATGATTCAATGATTGATGTAAAAAAGAACTATAAGCAGAAATTCATGTTAATACCTTCTCGGTTCTCTCTGGGGCTTCTGTCTCCACCTATGACCCAGTCACTGTTGATACTCCTAGTTACCACTTTGAACAAGCAGAATCCTCCTCTTACGCCCCCTCCCTCACACCTACAAAGCATGATACCCCAGTCATCTGTGCAGTATGGGTGCCTGTGTGTTAACCTAACCTTGCTCTCTCGTTTACTCGACAGGCACTCAACCACTTGAGGTATAACCCTAGCCCCAGGTCCCAGTTTTCTAACATGACAGCTTTATAAGAAATAAAAAAGTGCTCATTTTGACATGTCAATACACACACAGACACACAGACACACATATACACACACCCCTTTGTGGTATTCAATATATATTTACATTAATGCTCCAAAAGAAGAACACGATACTGCAATGGGAGAAACAACTCCAAGCCATGCCAAACTACAACAGTGATTCAGCCTAGAACAACTAATGCCAGGCTCATCATACTCAGCCACTTCCTCCCTGATGACTCAGGGTCCCAGAGGAAACTGTGAGCTCACTGTTTCTTGCCTTTCTGTGAAACAGAAATCCATTACAGCTAACTGAATATTGCAGTCCAAAATCAAGAGTGGTTATTTAAGGATATCATTGACATTGGGCCTCAGGAAAATCTGGTTCCAAAATAACTGCATTGAATTTCAATTTTTTTTCCTATTGTCATATTGCTGGCGCAAAATATTTGTGGAATATTGGCAAATAGCTACTTGTTGCGAAGTAGCTTTCACAAGGTACATTCTGCTACTGAAGCAGTCAGACTGGAGATTTTGATTCCATTGCCAAGATTCCATTAAGGTTTCTCATTATCAACTCCTAGGAGATAATTCACACAATACACATACACACACGCACACACACATACACACACACACACACACACACACACACACACACACACACACACCATGTCGATTTAGCATCCTTTTTCTGGAAGGTGTTTTCATTTTATTTAAAGTTAAATCTGGGCTTTACTGTAATTTAAATCCAATAGTCCATAGAAAAGAGGTTACATTTTAGTTTCCCTATTCCATTTCTGGGAAGAGTAGGAGAAGGAAGCCTTGCTAATTGACACCAAAGGCAGTTACCCTTTTTACTATGTGTCTGTGTGTGATCCAGAACAGAGCTATCATTTGGCAATGTGTTTCCTGACCAGTGATGAATCTGTCTGGGGACAGTTTTCTCTTCTAAATTTTTATGAGCCATAGCCATATTCTTCTCTGAGTTTAGAGGCAATTTCTTTGTGTTGAACTTGAACAGCCCATTCCTGGTTTTATGGGAGGAAGGACTGAGGCCAGATGAGAAAAAAAAGAGTATTGCACACTGAGGGTATTAAAGACTTTACTGTAAGGGATGCTGTCAAGGAAGAGAAAGGGATAAGAAGGAGGAAAGGAGGGCAAAGGGAGATAATAGGAAGGTGGATATGATCAATATATGTTAAATGTATCAACCAAACTATCCCAATGAAATCCATAATTTATACATTCTAATGCAAAAGTAAAGCCTTTCTCAGCCTGGAGCTGGTGACTCCTCCCTGTAATCCTAGCTATTAAGGAGGCTGAGATCTGAAGGATCACCATTCAAGGAAAACCTAGGCAAAAATGTTTGCCAGGCCAATGGTGGCTCATGCCTGTAATCTTAGCTACTCAGGAGGCTGAGACCTGAGGATCATGATTCAAAGCCAGCCTGGGCAGCAAAGTCCATGAGACTCTTATCTCCAATAAACCACCAGAAAACTGGAAGTGGTGCTGTGGCTCAAGTGGTAGAGCGCTCGCCTTGAGCTGAAGAGCTCAGGGACAGCGCTCAGGCCCAGAGTTCAAACCCCACAACTGACAAAAAAAATAAAATTAGTTTACTAGACTTGATATCTAAAAGCAAAGCTGGAGGTATGGTCAAGTGACAGAGCCAGAAACAATATATGTACTACATCTTTCCAAAAAGGATTTGAAATGAATGAGAGCAAAGAATTGCCAAGACAACTTACTTTAGAAGTCCTCCCTCCATTATATAACTTGAGGGTAGGAACAAGAAGGGGGCAATGGGGGAAAAATCAACTCAGGGGTAACATTGGCAAACAAGCACTGGAGGAAGAGGAGGAGGAGGAGGAGCAGGAGAAGGAGGAGGAGGAGGAGGAGGAGCAGGAACAGGAGGAGGAGGAGGAGGAGGAGGAGGAGGAGGAGGGGGGAGGAGGAGGTCTTCCTTCCTTTTCTCTTTAAGTGGGAGCTCAGCCATGATGAGACATGATCTTTCTCAGGACTATTGAAGATCGTGATGAAGAATGTCCAAGGCTAATCTAAATGGCAACTTGAGTTTATGCTCCTTCATTTAACACAGACCCACAACATGTTCCTTAAACTGATAGCTAGTGTGAGGACTTAAAAGAGACATTAGCTTTTTAGTACCCACGAATGTTCTCTTATAAGTATTTCTTTAATATCTGCTCCAAAATATGAAATGTTGCCTGATCTTTGAAAAAAATGTCAGTGATCATGATATTATGGTCATGGATCATGTTATATTACAATGTTTATGAGTGATAATATGTATGCAGGGCTGGGATGTAGCTCAGTGGCAAAGCGTTTGCCTAGCAAGTGCAACATCCTGGGAATGAGCAAAAAGAAGCTACTCTGATATTACAAGAGGAAAGCAACTTTCTCTATACATCAAGTCACTCTTCTTTTGATATTGGATTTAGAAGCAACAGAAGAGAATGATAGAGAAACCCATGGTAGAGAAAGCCTTCACCTCTTTCTGTTTCTCCTGCTCTGGAATTGAATCCGCATATAGCATTATTTAATAGCCATTATTTAATATCCAGATTTCTGTCCCCTCAATGAAAGACAGCTGTCAGCATTAATGCTTCCTACCTATTAATGAATTGTTGTCACTGTTCTTCTCTTGGTCTTAAAAATAGGAATGATCCAGAGAAACTAGACGCCTTCATCATGGACAAAGCCCTTCTGGATTATGAAGTGTCAATCGATGCTGACTGCAAGCTTCTCACCGTGGGGAAGCCATTTGCCATAGAAGGTATTAATCAGTCACTCTCAATTCACTTTTGCTCAAGATGTGCTCAGTTTGCTAACCTAGCAAGTCACAAATGCCAACGTCAGGGGCAAAAAATGATTCGTCTTCCCTTGTTTTCATTTTCAGTTCATAAGCACTTAGCAGTTAAGTTGCTGAAGTTAGGAATTTATTTTTCACTGGCTCAACAAATACTTATTTATGCATTTGTTAGAACAGAAGAAGAAAATGATAGTTTTCCCAAATGATGATTCAGATATCTGGGAGTGGTGTCCATGAGGGGAGCAGTTGAAATTTAATCAGGATTTTTCTTTGTGCTTTTGCTTTTGTTTTGTTTTGTTGTTGTTGTTGTTGTTGTCTGTTATTTGGATTTTTTCAGTGCTGGGGGATTGAAACTAGGTCCTACCACATGTTAGGAAAGCTCTTTCCTACTGAGCTACATCTCCAGCCCCTAATCTTTGCTTTTAAATAACCAAACACTATAATGAATCTGATACAAAAACTAGAAAGATCACATTTTCTAACCAGAAGAGCCTGAACTGATCTAATCCACTTCATTCATTCTATATACAATAAAAAGCCTGACCATAATAAATCACACATCTATATCATTTAGATTAGACAATGAAGTAGGGATTAAAATCCAAGTCTCATGCTTCCTAAGTAAATATTTTCTACTATTGGAAAGTAGAAAAAAACTTAGTACTCTTTAGAAGCCTAAATGAAACCTTCTAGGGACCCCACATTTGCCTTTTTCCCTCCTCTGGTAGTAATTTTTGTTTGCAAAGATCAACCCATCAATCACACTTCAGGACCAATGAAGGACTGCTTTGTCAGTTCTTTCTCTCATTCTCTGAACGACAGTTGATATATGAAGCTGATAGGTTGAACCAGCAAATTTCACATCTCCCAACTCCCAGCTTTCCTTCCTTGACAGTACAAGCTAACTCTCAAGACAGCCGTGCTCACTTGTCACAAAACACATTGGCTTGAAACAATCCCATGGGGACACCAAAGTCCTATTTTCAGAAATCTGTACTTGCTGTATGTTAACTAGAGTATCAAGACCATTCCGATTCCAATTTTCCCACAGTTGGTCTCTTTTTTTTCCCCCCTAAACACATAAGTGGGCTTTCTTTCTTTTTCTTTTTTTCGTTTATTTCATTCTGGGGTTTTATTTGTGATGAATGACAATGGTACACCTGATTTTGTTTCTTCAAGCCCTCACCTGGGAGAAATGACTTTCCTCTATAAGCACAATGACCCCTGCTAACCAGGAATAGAACTCAAGAAGAGAAATAGTAATGGTAGTTTTCTATTAAGACTTAAGTGTGCCTAGTGAAGGCACAAAAAAAGGAAGAAAGGAAGGAGGTAGGAGGGGAGGGAGCTAGGGAGCAGAGAGAGGGAAGAAAGGAGAGAGAAAGAAGGAGCAAGGGAAAGAGAGAGAGAGAGAGAGAGAAGAGAGATAGCAAAGCCAGAAAAACCAAAAGAATATTCAATATATTCTATACTTCATCTACTGCAATGTACCAATGGAAAAATTCTTTTTTTCTTTTTGGCGTCTGGTGATTTGGAAAGAAAGTCCTAAATGCCCTGGGTAATTGAGGTCCCTCCTACCATTAGTTGCTACTAACAATGAATCATTTGCACAGGGCATAACACTGAGGGGCTCCATTTTCCACCTCTGTCTTCAGGGGGGAACCCTCTCTTGTCAAGAGGCAGTGGTAAGATGGCTTGTTTGCCTCTGTTGGACCCCAGAGCCAGATGCTACACAATTAACTCCCTACTGGTTTGTTGTTTACATTTCCATCTGTGCTCCTGAGACTTAGTGTCTTGCAGTTCCTATCATCTCCAGAAAACAACTTCGTTCTCAGGGAATAAATGCAAAGTGGCCACAAGGAGAGATATCCCTGGAGAAAAGTTTACGGATTTGAATAGAGAGAGGATTATCACCACCATTGGTTTTGTCACGGAACAGATGGGATAAACATCAGAAAACTTCATTCAAGACTGCCCCTCCCAGCAAGTACACCTGAGATAAACATTTTCAAAGAAGAAAATGTTTACTTTGGCCCATCATTCCAAAGGGTCTAATCAACCCAGTCACTTGACTGTGTTGTTTCTGGCTCATTGTTGAGTTAGATCATCATCGCAAAGAGTGCACAGACAGTGGTGCAAAGCTGCTACCATCATGTATGGTCTTAAGAAGTGGAGACATAATGGCCTTCAAAGCATGCACCCAATGGCATACTTGCTACAACTAGGCCCCAACTCCTGAAGTTTCTATCACTATCCAATAGCCATTAAGCTACAAATCCACAAATGGATTGTTCCATTCATGAGGTCAGAGCCATCATGATTTATGTGTCACCTAGGATACTGTTCATTAAGGACAAGAGCTTTGGAGAGAATGTTAAAGATCTAAACCTGGAACTTTGCAAAATCACAACAGAGGATACTTTTAAGTCATACACAACAGGAAAAGCAGATTAATAAAGACCAATAAAAGGGCTAAGAGAATAGCTCAATTATAGAGTACATGCCAACCACATGTGAAGCCTTGAGTTCAACCCCAGCACCACAAAAAAAAAAGAATAAATTTGGCTTAGAGCATGGTTCAAATATTCATCTCAAAACTATTTTAGAAAATATTTTATTTTTCTTCAATTTTTTCAAGCATTGTTTAACAAATATCATAGAATTTACTTTAACAACATTCAGGTTTTCCAACTCAGTGAAAGAGGAACTTTTATTATACAGTCAGAATCAATAAGTATAAACAGTTTCTGACCAATAATTGTCCATTTGACTTATAGAAATGTTGCATGTGTCTATCTTCATTCCCTTCAGAGAGTCTAGTGCAATGCAAAGCAGACAGTAGCTATAAAATAAATGATGAATTACTAATTCATTCACTTATAGTTGACCAAAACACATGCTAATAGTTCCCATGTATTTCCTCAAGTGTTTAATTCGAGGAACTTAGGAAAGACAACAGAGTTTGTTGATTTCCTCGTGCTACACTCACTCTGTATAGTATCACTATCACACTAATTTAGTGTCTCCATGTCTGTGTCGGTCCAAAACTCATATGTTGAAATGTAAACCTCACTGTGATGGGTTTCAAGGGAGGGGCCTTTGGAAATAGGTTATATCATGAAAGCTTTGTGTTCATAAAATGAGATTCAGGTTGCTGTAAAACAGACTCATGGGGCCCATTCACCCTTTCCCAAGTAGGACTACATAGCTAGAAGCTATCTGTGAGCTACAAAGTTCATAGGTACCTGGTTCATCCTTATCAAGCACAGCAATGACTTGGATTTTTCTACCCTCCCTCACTGTGAGAAGTGATTGTCTGTTGTTTACAAAACAACAGTTACCCAGTCTTGGATATTTTGTTATAGCAGCCCAACCAAACTAATATAACTACTCATTACCCCCCAACTTCAACGTTGTGCATTTATTTACAGCAAAAAAAAAAAAGTTAAAATAAGGCCAGAGAGAGAGAGAGAGATAGTGGCTTCACATTGAGTTTGAGCCTTCTCTGTTGATAAAGAGTATATAGAACAGAGCAAATCAAAACTGTTAACAGTTAGAGAGTATGTAGGAATCTTTGATCAACTTAAACACAATACATCAGGAGTACAAAGACATAGTATCTGCTTAGGGGAAAAAAAAAGAAATTATGATAAATGAAATACAAGCCCCAAATTTATGCATTGGAGTTACCTGGCAATAAAGGTCAAACAAGCAGAAAAGAGTAATGTAACTGCACAATAACGATTTGTGACCTTTCGGCCAAAGACCTTTGCCAAAGGACCTTGTTTCATTTCCTTGCTTTCCAATAATTACTTAATATGGTGCCTAGAGCACCAGCTGTGGAGTCTAGGGACTTGAATTGGAATAGACTCGCCGTCACTACCTGTCAAATGTCTTACTGGTTTCCTCCAGTTTTTAATCTTCATACTGAGGATATAAATTGTATATCTATGATAGAGTCATATGAAGATTAAGGAAAATACTACATGTAAAGTATGTACTTGGGAAATACTCAGTAAATCACAGTATATTGTATATATTCAATTAAATTAATGGTAGTATAGTATTCAGTATACAAATTAATAAATTGAGAACAATGAACTCAGAATTCTCTTCCATATAAGCTCCACCAATCTCAACTTCTCTCAGACATTTCTCAGTTTGATGGGCTGGAGATAAAGGCAGCCCATTTGTAAAATCTCCTTTCTAATTACAACTATTAACAATATCTTCTCAACCATTGTCCCACAGTAATTATGTTATTCCAAAGACAGACTTCGGAACTGAATGAGTTTCATCCTGAAGCCTTTTAACCCTATTTGAAACCTTATTTTCAAAATACTTATTTTCCTGGTCACATTTCAGGAAGATTCCTTCAGTCTATGCATTTATAACTGCACATTTGCTAGCCAAAATATATTTCCACTACTTTCAGCTGAGTAAAGCTGATTTATCCATGGGGAAAAGATCAGGATTTCTGTTCTGAAAATTGTTCTCTTGGGCTATTAAGCTGTAGCCAGTCTCCAGGGTGCTTGATGGCTTCATCTTTAGGGTTGAGGAATTCCATTTTGCTTCATCCGTCAACCACAAAATAGTCAGCCATGTCTTTATTGCAAAGCCACAATTCTAATGATAATGAAAGCCCCTCAGACTCCGTTGAGTCAGCAGTTTAAATTCTTTCACCAATGAATACAGCCACATTTGAAAAGCAACTGATGAAACATAAGGATGGAAATGGATGCTTCAACGTTTTACCATTTTATGTTTCTAAATAAAAGGAATTCCTATATCTTTAACAAATACCTCTTTTCACTGTCACATATTTCTTTCCTACTTTTCCTCTTATTCACAGGCAACTTTTAATTAGCTAATCATTATTTTTATCAATGCTGGGACTCATTGAAATATGGATATCTCTAATATATGTATGAAAATAGAAAATTTAAAAATGATATTAGTCATTTTGGCAGTCCATTGCAAATAACCTGGACATGATGGAGTACAGTGATTTAATATTTATTATTTCCTGTATGCCAGGGTATTTTTTTATATGTCTCTGTAACTTCTAAATAGTTTGCCCAGTAGAGAATTTTAATACTTTTGTGATAATATAGAATACTCCATCCTTAGAATATACAGATTTGTTATAAGAGTTAACTTCACATTTCTTATCTTTCTTATCATGTATTTTTATCTCATCTATCAGAAAGTGTCATGATCCAGAATCAGTCTAAGATGCTTCATACTTCCTTTCATCCAATAGCGATCGCTCTCCTCTGAACTTTCACAGAACTTCCTCCAGCCTCTTTGTGTCTTATTTGTTATGTGTTACCTTTATTGAAGTCGTGCCTTACACATCTTTTTTCCAAGAAAAGTCATATGACTTCCCCAGAAACTTCTTCTGTGTCTCATATAACTTACTAACCTCCATGACACCTGGCAGAGTGGCTGACATGGAATAAGCGTGAAGTCATATGTGTACAACTAGTGAGTAGATGAATCGGTGTGCAACAAATGCCTGTCAAATAAAAAAAAGGGAAGAAAAACCTTTCTTTTAGTATTATACCAATATCAGTTGAAATTACCAGCTTGAACAGAATGTTTAAGAAAAACAGCAGAATTCGTAAGTGTTCTTGTTAGAGAAGCTACTGACATATATAATCACATACAAGTTAGGACCATTCTTCTACTCTTTATACAACTTATTGCAAAGTTAATCAACAAAATCTGTCTATGAATAATCTTATTTTTTGTCTTCTGAAAGTAAACCACTTGTTTTGGTGATGGAGACTTTTTATGGAACTACCTGATTTGAAGAACGTAAGCCAATATAAAGGTTGAGATCAGACCCATACTATAAAAGAGAAGGAAATATATCAAATAGTCCCCTGACCTGTATGAGATATGGTGAACACCTACTTTCAAATACTGGTTTTATCAACTACTACCTGTGTGATATTATTAGTTTGGTCATTTAATCTTGAAGTCTCTTTAAACAACACATATTCTTACATGGATCCTTAGAGGGAAACGCAGAACAGTGTCTGGCACATAATAGGCCTCAGAATCTCCTGATTCTTATGTCTGGAATCCCAGAGTAACTGAACCATGTACCAGCACGCGTAGCACGCAACCTGGGCTTAGTGCATCATTTACAAAAGCAGGGTAGAATATGAAAAATGTTTACCTGAGAGCACTTCTTAGGGTATAGTAAGCCCTCGATAAATATTAGAAATTGTTCCTGCATTGTTGCTTCCATTGTTGAAAACTATTGCTTCAGTGGGAAAAGACTTAACATTCAACAAACCTGGCCCAAACTAATTATCCTACCCACCCACGCCCATCAGATAGTTCCAAACCCTACTACTTTCAGTTCTTACATGTCCCCGTTCTTCTCTCTCATGACACCTGTCTCAGTTGTAATGAACTATGCATTAGAAATGGGTTGCTTTGTTTAATCTCCCCCACAGAGAGAACATCCCATGGCATGAGAGACCCTTCTCACTGCTAAGTCTTGTCCTCTTATCACAGGGTCTAGTTACTCAATAAAATATTTATGCCATGGCTGAATGAATGAGTGAATGAAGGGATGGGTAAGTCAGTGAATCATTGAGTGTTATTACACATGTACCTTCTGTTCAACCTGACATGTAAATACATACCAAATAAATGTTTGTGCAAACCGAATTGTCATTGGCATTCGTTGTAAGTTGCTAAAGAAAAGTGGTAACTTCCTTATAAAAAGTTACCCAGTTAAAAATGTTATTTAATGATAGCATCAGCAGAATAAACAGCTGCCCACCTCTAAGTCTTTTATTATCAGTCTTGCCTTTCGAACTAAGACTACTTAGGCCAAAAATAAAAATATAGAAAAAAATAGGCTCACAACATAGCTCCTAGAATAGACGATTCAAAAGCTTGCTTTTGACATTGTCATCATCTCCTTGACTCTGAATTGTTAAAGAACAAACAAAATTAACCAAGGGGAAAAAATACACAGTTCTTTAACACTCTAGAATTGTTTGGCATTATTTATGTCTTTTTTGTTGCTTATGTACACATCTCAGTTCTCATAGATTTAAAAGGGGCCTTGTGCATCTGCATTTAAAAAGGAGCAAACTCATAGCTTTAGAATTCAGTTGGAAGATAAAATAATTACAGCAGGCATTTGTTTCCAGGACATATCTTTGGATCCTTGACAGCTTTTAACCCTTTATTTATGAAAAAGGAACTAAACATATTTTTAGTTATCTTCCTCTATCATCTTAAGAGCAATATATATATTATCTTTTTGTTACTATGATTTCTAATTGCTAAAACAAGATGTAGTTAATTAGCCTCTTGCACATGGCTTGTCAAAGAGATTAGCAGTGTATTAACAGTTTCAAAAGCAAGCAGAGCCGTGTAGTGTAGGAATGCAGTCTAAGCTGATCAATAAAACCACTGCAATTATATCTATCTTCGTTCTCTTTTTCCAGCCAGTCTCCAGTCATCTGCACCCTGAAGAACTATAGTCTTGGACCTTTAATTTATCAGAGCATTTTTTTCATCACATACATATGTTTTCCTGAAAATATATTGTCTTAAATATTTTTATATTTACAAGATGAATTTGGAACTGATGCTTTTCCCTCAATAACATATTGGCAAGAGTCATCTTACCAATGTGTATCAGTGCATCAAGGCCTAATTTGTTTGTTTAAGTTATATGGCATAAACATAAAGAATCCACAACTGCCCATTGCCTTGTCAAAGAACATTCAGGTTGTTTCAGTTTGAGGGATTATAAACAATTTCTCTCAAAACTTTCTTGACCATGTATAGTGATGTGCTTGTGGAGGAGTTCTTTGGAATTGTATTAGGAGCAGAATTACTGGTCTTAATAGATATATTCAATTCTACAAAGTAATATCAAATTGTTTTCCAAAGCAGCTGAATCAATCTTCATTCCATTATTCAATATATAAATGATGTATTGACCCATGTCTTCACCATTTCACATATGACTCTTCTGATAAAATGAAGTTATTTTTAATTTTTGTGGATGTTTTATTTCTCATGCTTATATGTTCACAGGGTCTTATTACATTATCCAAAAGTAAATCAAAAATTCACAAGGGTGTCATTAACAATGACAAGAGAATATCATAAACAAAAGATTATGATTAATTTTGTGTACTTAACACCCAAAGGATTGATTCATAGAGAGAGAGGTAGAGAGGGACTCTCAGCCCTTGCAACGATCTCAAAGATTGCTTCCAAGAGAGGGAAGAGTAGAAGATAGCCAATGTCTCTCCCTTCCAGATCAGTCTCATCACTCAGAGATGAAGCTGATCTAAGGATAAACATATGGAAGAACATCGTTGAGTCCTTTGAAGGAAAGAGCTTCAACTCACCCTGCTTTTGTTATCAGATCTAAAGCAATGGCGTGCAATTATGGTGGACCACCTCTCTGGAAGTGTGATAGACTCATGTGGGATTGTATTTTCTTCTAGGCTACGGCATTGGTCTCCCACCCAACTCTCCGCTGACCTCCAATATATCGGAGCTAATCAGTCAGTACAAGTCGCATGGGTTTATGGATGTGCTGCATGACAAATGGTACAAGGTGGTTCCCTGTGGCAAGAGAAGCTTTGCCGTCACTGAGGTATGGAAAGACTTCTGGTACCGTTATCGAGCTTCACCTTGAAGAACAGGGGCGATGCTACTATTGGTGCCTCATAATCAATATTTCAAACAGTTTAATTTACTAGGACTCTGCTTGGTATTTGGATTATTCTTAAATTTGCTTGAAGCAGGGACAATTTCTAGAGGAATGTTCAGTGAAACGTATTTGCCTTCTATTTAAATGTGATGCTGCTTAGATGGGTCAGAGTTTCCATTTCTACTTTTCCTCAACTTCTGTATCCACAAGTACAGAAGACAAGTAACTGCATCTGGGATTAGTCTGAACAGTAACTGATTTAACTGATCACTGCTGGTCATGATGTGGGTTTCACAATAGTGCTTAAATATAATCAAAGTTTTGTTCATTTTCCAGTAGTGACTATTTATCAGTAAATCCTTAACTAGCAGTTGTTAGATAGCAGAATCAAAGGTTTTTCAAATCTGAAAATAACCAATTCCAGTCTCTTATATGTTAGAAACTAATACCACAGGTACTAAGTGATTTTCCTAAGGCAAAAAAAAATGGTCAAAAATCTACTTCTTCCTACATAGAAATACTCTATCTTTACAATGTAATTAGATGATTCAGTTGGAGATTGAAAAGCATAACCAAAGGCACAGACTGAAGTACTTTTAAAGAGGAGCAAATGACCAAGTACAAGGTCATCCTGACATTTAAAAAAATATGAAAAAAGACACATCTGAAAACAAATGGTTCCAAATAAGTCTCTCTTTCCAAACATTTACCTTAGCCCAGATCTTTCTCACCTCCAGAACACATGGCCCCCTTCCTGTTTAACATCTCTTCTTGAATATCCTACAGGCATCTCACATTTCACTTCTTCAAAACTAAAGCTTTGATCTGCACTCCTCGGCCTGCTTCTTCCCTTGTGCTTCACCTCGTGGTAATGGTACTTGTGTGCATCTTGTTTCTTATTCAGGATGCCATCAGGGATCCTTACTGCCTCTCATGTTCACCTTTTTCCTCCATCAACAAGCTGTATCTTCTCCCCCTATAAAATATCTCAAGTGTGGCCATTTATTGTCTCCGCTGTCATCCATCTAGTCCAAGCTGTCATCCCTCACCAGACAACTACAGAAGCTCTAACTGGTCTGCGTTCACCCCCTGCCTTCCGCTAATGATTTTTCCTCATGGCTGTTCACTCTTCTGCGAGAAGCCATAATGGCCAGCCATGTCCATGGGACAAAACCTGAAAGGTCAACCTGGCCTTCGAAGCCCTATGATATCAGCGCTTGCCCACTTCCCAGATCCCTCTCCTGCCACTTTCCTCTTGGTGCAGCCGAGAGTGCCACACTGTGGCTCCACCATTCTGAGCCTCAGCTTCTAAAACCTGAAGAAAGAGTGATACATACTACATAGAACTATGGTTAAAAAAGAGGAAGAGAAGCTGGGTGCCAATGGCTCATGCCTGTAATCCTAGGCTGAGAGCATGATTGCAGTTCAAAGCTAGTCCAGGTATGAAAGTCCATGAGACGCTTATCACCAATGAACCACCAGAAAGCTAGAAGTGGAGCTGTGGCTCAAGTGGTAGATTGCTTGCCTTGAGCTGAAGAGCTCCAGGACAGCACCTAGGCCCAGAGTTCTAATGCCACAACTAAGAACAAAAAATAAATAAAGATGAAGAAGAAAGCCAACTAATGCTTTTAACATTTGGGTTAGCATATACCCATCTAGGAAAACTGTAACATTACTTGTGTTTCTCAAGAACTTGAGGTTTCACTATGAATGTCCTATATGGGTTTATCAGCATTCTCTCTCTTTTTTGTGATTGGTGTGTGTGTGTGTGTGTGTTTGACATCTCACTATATAGCCCCAGTGGGTTTCACTGAATTGTTTCACTCTTTGTCCCACTGTTTCTGTGCTTCCTTTCCCCTCCCTTAATCAGATAAACTTACATACAAGACAAAGGGTACAGAAATCAAAGACAGCAACAAACGGGAATAAACCAAAGGAAAAAAAAAGGAAAGAAGAAAAGAAGATTTAAAAAAAAAGAAATGCAAACAGTGCAATATAAAACACTCTTACTTCCATTCCTTAGAGTTCATTGTGATAAGCATCATTTTGTATGCTATTGAGCCCTTGTGATCCTCTTCTAAGAATATCCTGCTTTGTTCTCACTGTGTGAGTGTTTAGAGGGCTGTCTAATTAATCATGTCCAGGTGTAATTATTTGTTTTTTACTGTCCATTGAGTTTACAGACTTATAGGCACATTCTAGTTGTTACAAATAAAGGAAACCATGCAGTCTATGTTTCTTTGGGTCTGGCTTACTTTGCTTCATATAATTTTTTCCAAGTCTTTCCATTTCTTTATGAATGGGGCAATGCCATTCTTTCTGATGGAAGCATGGAATTCCATTGTGTGTGTATGCTACATTTTCTTGATCCATTCATCCACTGAGGGGCATCTGGGTTGATTCCATATCTTGGCTATGGCACTCAATGCTGCAATAAACATTGTTGTCCTGGAGGCTTTAGTGTGGCCTGGCTTGGGGTCAATTGGATAAATGCCCAGGAGTGGGATTGCTGGGTCACAGGGGAGCTCTATGTTTAGTCTTTTGAGGAACCTCCATACTGCTTTCAAGAGAAGCTGAACAAGTTTACACTCCTGCCAACAGTGTAGTAGCATTTTCTTTTTGTCACATCCTCACCAGCATCTGTCATTGTTAGTTTTCTTGATAAGGGCCATTCTAACAAGAGTGAGGTGAAATCACAATGTTGTTTTGATTTGCATTTCTTTTATGTCTAGAGAGGTTGAGCATTTCTTCATGTGTGTATTGGCCATTCCTATTTGTCTTGGGTGAAGTCTCTCTTTAATTCTTTAGCCCATTTACTAATTGGATTGCTGTTTCTTTGAGGATTTGTTTTTTGGGAGGTTTAATTTTTTTAGCTCTAAGTATATTTATGAGGCCTTTGTCTGACACATAGCTAGTAAAGATCTTCCATTCTGTGGGCTTTCTATTTATCTTGCTAGCTATGTCCTTTGCCATGCAGAAACTCCGCAGTTTGATGCAATCTTGTTTATCTAGTCTGTCTTTGATTTGTTGTGACTCTGGATCTCAGGAAGTTTCATCCTGTGCCAAGGAAGGTTAATGGTTCTTCTATCATTTCCTGTAATGTTTTCAGTGTATCTGGTCTTACACTGAGGTTTTTGATGCATGTGGAGTTGATTCTGGGGCAGGGTGATATATAAGGATCTACCTTCAGTTTTCTGCACGAATATAGCCAACTCTGCCAGCACCATTTATTGAAGAGGTTGCCTTTCTTGCATCCTGTGCCTTGGGCACCCTTATCAAATATTAAGTGGCTATAGGTCTGTGGGTTCATTTCTGGGTCTTCTATAGGTCCTGAGGCCTATTCTTGTACCAGTACCAAGCTGTTTTCATTAGTACATCTTTGTACTAGAGTTTGAAGCTTGGTACTAATATTCCTCCAACACTGTTCTTCCTGTTAAGGATTGTTTTTGCTATTTGCTATTCAGTGTCTTCTATTATTCCATATGAATTTTTTTATTTCTTTCTCTGTGTCATTGAAGAAATTGTTGGGATATTGAGGGGTATTGCATTGAATTTGTAGATAGCTTTGGGCAGTATTGCCATTTTCACAATGTTAATCCATCCAATCCAGGAGCTTTTGCTACTTCCTTAAATCTTAAATCCTTAATTTCCTTCTATGGGATTTTAAAGTTTTCATCATAGAGGTCCTTCATCTCTTTGGTAAGTTAATTCCTAGGTATTTTTTTCCTGAGGCTATAACAAATGGAACTGCTTTTCTGATTTCAGCCTCACTCTTCTTATTGGTGATATACAGAAAAAATATTGATTTGTGGGTTAATTTTATACCCCACTACTTTGCCAAAGTTTGGATCGGCTCAATTAACTTGGGAGAGGAGTCTATGGTGTTCTTTAAATACAGGATCATGTCATCTGCAAAGAGGGAGAGTTTTACTCCTTCTTTCCCTATTTGAATTCCATTTATTTTTATCTCTTGCCTCATTGCTCTGGTGAGGAATTCCAATACAATATTGAAGAGCAGTGAAGGGTGCAGACATCCTTGTCTCATCCCCTGATTTTAAAGGAACTGTTTTTAACTTTTCACCATTAAGTATAATGCTGGCTGTGGGTTTGTCATATACAGCCTTTATTATATTGAGGAATGTTCCATGGATTCCTCTCTTCTCCAGAGTTTTTAAAGGGGGTGTTGCTCTTATCAAATGCTTTTTCTGTATCTGTTGAGATGATCGTGTTAACCAAGATTTTTAACAAGTCAAATTTGGAAAAGAGGCCATTGCAGAGTCTTTCATGTAGTCCATTGGAAGTGTTGGGTTAGAAACTGTTACTAGAGGGGCTGGGAAGGTGGCTCAGTGGTAGAGCGCTTGCCTTGCATGCCTGAGGCCCTGGGTTCAATTCCTCAGCACCACATAAGCAAAAAGAATAAAAGCCAGAAGTGGCGCTGCGGCTCAAGTGGTAGAGTGCTAGCCTTGAGCTGAAGAGCTGAGGGACAGCACCCAGGCCCAGAGTTCAGGCTCCACGACCGGACCCCCCCCCTCAAAAAAAAAAAAGAAGAAACTGTTACTAGATCAAGTTGTGGTGATTGAGACACTCTAGACTCAATCCCCAGTTCAGCTGGGAAGAAACAAGTAGGAAAGGTATATCCTTAAATGGATCTCTAGATACTGAAGGAAGGGAGAAGTTCTGCAAACACATGTGTGTGCAGAGATGAGAGAGAGAAAGAGTCCAGCGTCCACGAGTGTTAAGAACAGACATCGAGCTGTTCCTTCTCAGGAATGGTGGTGTGCGCCAAGTCATGGCCTCTTCTACCCAATAGCAACTGTTTCCCAGGGAGGCTCCCAGCGTGCTTATACCCCGGTGCATGGCCTGGCACATTTGCCTTGAATATCCTAAGACAGAATCTCAGAATCATCCTCACAGAACCTACCGAGAAAACATAACCAAAGGAA